TGAATACTCCTGATACCCGAAATTGAATTTGTGCACAGAACCATGTGCTTAAGCTATACCCCATCTGGACCGAGTTTTTTCCACCCATGGTTCCCAGAGATGACCAATACTGACGGACCTAGCTCTATTTAACGGACATAATTATCACAAATTAATGAAATGGACTGGCGCACATAGCGTTGTCGTAAGCCCCGAGGACCTAGAAGCCAACGGACTAGCCAAGAACTTCATGAAAGCAATGAACAAAGTCTGGCACATCGCCCATATCAAAAGGAAAAACCATAAACAACAGCTGTCGAGCCACGCCACAAAGCTTCACATGGAAAGCACCTGCCAGAGTCCTATTTAACCGCCAAGCGCGAAATCAACGAAACCTAGAAGCCAAAGAAAACAGAGAGCCTACTAGGATAGCAAAATTAATACCAAATCACACAACTTTAAATTGGGAGATCAAGTTGTCCTACTTTAGAAACATTTAAAATCAAACCCAAAATATATCCCAAAACCACATAAAGTTATTGACATCCGGGAATCGTCAAAATATTACAAGTTAGCGTTGGAAGACCTTTTTAACGTTGATGATCCAAGGACATGGATATATGTTTGTCTTGTAACAAGTCTCGTAATCTGTCCTGTCAAATATCGTGTTGTTATTAGATTTATGTTCGTTGTATTGTTGTATAGTATTAATATAATTAATGGGGCCGCTGTAATTGGTGAAAACTGTTGCGTGCACCCTGCCAATGGAACACATATTATATGTTGTTGTAAATCAGTGCTGTTAAATGTTGCATGTTACTTGGCAAAGTTAAATAAATAGTATGTTACAGCAGCAAGAGGGGCCACGATTCGAGAAGGTGACGCCCAAAAAATTCAAAAGAACAATAAACACGGACACATATAAAAAACAAAAGTCAGATGTTAAAGTTGAAATCCAGTTAATAACCTTTTTTCTTTAAAGCTCTAACTATAGTTTCATAACATAGCCCCAGCTAAATAACTTAAATGAGAGATGTGATATCTGGGCATTAATGAACATCAATAGTTAGATAGCAATAGATACTAGAGATAAAGACATAGTTACGAAGAAATGAAAGATTGTATAAAAGTAGTTTGCTGGTAGTAGTTTACCAGAATATTACACCGAGCACTGTTGAACCCACGAATTAATGCAAGTCACCAGCAATGCAATCAGAATGTCAAGTGAGTAATTTAAAAAAAATTGTATCAGGATGAAATTTATTTGCTTCAGTGACTGAAAACTGAAACTAATTCGCGTCGCGTTGCCAAATCGCGTTCGGAGTGTACGTCTGAGCCTTTAACGTCAAATCGTACAGTATAGTATAGTATAGTATAAGTTTTGATTGCCATTATTTCTTATGATCGTTGATTAAACAACCCATGTTTACATTTTCAGGTCAATTGTTATATATAACTATGAGCCATATTGGCGGTCCCCCGCATATTTCGCAGATCAGATTTTGACGCTCATGCATACATATAATTAATAGGCATGCACTGCACTGATGCAGATAGTAATGTGTGCCATTTTTAACAAATGTGAATTGTTCCATAAGTAGAAAAACCTCATTCACGAATAATTTTGAAATGATTGAATTATTATTGATGGCTTATTCTGGCAATTTATAACAGACGTTCATAACTTACGTAATATTTCTAATCCGTCCGTGAGCACTGGACAATTTGATCAAGTCCGAGGCTTCGCCTCGAATTGGAAGATTTGAAATGACATGATTTCGTATACAAATAAATCACTACCTAAACTGACGTAAATTAATTTTGATCCAGTCCAAGGACTCAATAACCGAGTTAATTTTGATCCAGTCCAAGGACTGAATAACTGAAGCGGGAGACTTTTTATTAGAGAGGTTGGTTTCGGTGTACGGGTACAAGTCATCTTGTTTCATCTTGTTTGTAATTCGATCACACTTTCTTCGTTTTCTTGCAATGATATAATGACAAAAATATAGACAATGATATAATGCGAAGAAGTGCAATTACAAGTAAAGCTGCAGCTACTATACAAAAATATTGGTAACCAAAATCAAGCTACCCGTACACGCACACCGTAACCGGGGTATCTTATAACGTACCTCTCTAATGTTCTTTCCAATTCCGGCTTGGATATCAATGCTTATTACCTATGATTATCATCATTGACAGTTGTGTCGACGTAAATCGACAGGTCATCTTCAATAAGCCAATTCAGAATCGCATATCGAAGTATTCAAATACAAAATTGCTCGCAAAATTAATTGCATTCAAATGCAAAATTGTTCGAAACGAAGAACACTTACAATGACTTTCCTCACCGGTTTTAGCTAGACCGCCTTCGTCACAGAACATCACTGTTCGTGTTGTAAGAGGGCTTATAATAGCCTTTTCGATTACAAATGGAGAAGGGTTGTCTGAAATTTGAAATTTTTGTCGGATATTTAGAAAACTTTGCCCCCCCCCCCTCCCACTGTTTATTAAATCGCAACTAGATGTGAAAGACATATAAATAATTGAACAGCCGAATACTTTGATATGCATATCATGATGTATCAGTTATTGTAATTTTCCGATTCTTTGCAGCAAGTTACTGAAATAACTATCCCAATGCACAGAGCATCATTTAGGCACTCGCAATTATTCCGCACTGGCTCAATGGGAAATAATTGAAGAAAATATAATTGCTGAATACCGTTGAAAACGACTGGTAGTGGAGTAGAGTTTTTTGTGCTATTATTTTACTTCCTTTTGTCTACCTGGTTCTTTACATAATATTTTATCTGTCTCCACTCTCGTCTATCTAAAGCTCCTTCAGCTTCAGCCTTACACCTCTCGCACTCATCTTTTCCAGGAACAACTTTTTTTCTAATATAATGCTCTAAAGAAGAGTGGACAGCTCGTTTCTCTTCTTTTGTCCACTCTTTTCGTTCAAATTTCTCTAAAAAGAAATATCATCATTTCAGGTAAAAACTGGCGAATTTGGTGAATAGACTGGCAAACAGAGTGTAAATGTAAATTAACTAATATCTTCCAACAAAAATTTCAAATTGAAAACAAAAGAAAGTAACAAAGTAAAGCGTGATTTTCGATATTTTTCGGGACGCACTTTGATCTACCCCCAAATAGAATTTATAGCGCCGATGCAAACTAGAAATTGACAAATTGTGTGTCAATCAGCTGGTGAATCTGAAATACGTTAAATATTTGCAGGTTATCATCAACCCGACCACGAAATCTTCAAGAACCTTATCCAGGCAGGGTGTCAGTGAGACGGGTCTGTGTCACCTTGAAAGGTAGGAGGTTGTGATTTTGGAACTGGTATGATGTTTGAGTCTTTCCATATTGCAGGGACGCGATTCCAGATGAAAGTGATGCGTTGAAGATAGTTGCAACAGGTTCGACCAATTCATGGGCAAACTCTTTCAGGATACGACAGGGGACGTTATCTGAACCGTGGGCTTTAAAAGGTTGGGATCATGATCAAGATCACAAAACCAATTATGTGTGGTAACCCATCTTCCGAAAGCATCTAATCCTGATCTGGGATAGCGCCGTACTAAGGATTTAGCAGATTTTGCTTGGATGTTGCGGCTGGAAATTTTATTGACTGATACTAGCCAGTGTACAATATTATGGTCACTGGATCCTAATTGAGCAAGGACATTATACAGGTTTGTAAGAATAAGATCGAGTATTGCTGATTCTCTAGTGGGTTGGTCAACAACTTGTTTAAGATTTTGACTGGCGGTCAAACTACGAGTTTCAAGATCATTAAAATCGCCCATGTTTACCAGACCAAGGTCAGGGTGGTTGTTTCGAAGTAGGTCAATAGTGTTAATTAAATGTTTGTTAAGATCATTGTGTTCCGATATTGTCAGGCCACGTGGGTGATACACGACACAAATAACGATACCGGATAGAGGTCTACAGAAGCGTTTCGGTCGTATGCTCAGCCATAAGCATTCTAAATTCCCACTTTCTAGGTCTACCCGTCGTATACAGGGGGATGTCTTTTTTAATATAAGCACAAACTCCGCCACCTCGACCAATTGCGCGATCTTTACGGAATAAATTGTAATCGTTAATGGACCTTTCCCCTAAAATTTCGATCTAGACAAAAATTTCATCACAGCTTGAAAGAGCATCACAAAATTAGTAATATTTTAAAGTGTTGTTGCAAAATCTTGTAAGATGCGGATAATATAGCCTTGCGAAGTTTGCCGTTTTTCAGTCATTTTGTATTACAAACGGGAAATTGACATCCGATTCGGGTGTTGGGCTGCAATTTCCCGTTTGTAATGCAACGTTCGTTTAAATAAATTATTCATTCATTCAAAATTGCAAACTTCGCAAAGCTCAATTTTCCTCATTTTACAACATTTCGCAACGAAACTTTGGAATATTACTAATTTTGTGATGCTCTTTCAAGCTGTGATAAAATTTTTGTCTAGAATTGTTGAGATCTAAATTTTAGTCAAAAGGTGAAAGGTCCATTGACAGTTTTAAAAAACTTTTAAAGACATACTTATCATTAATTAAAAAAGCCTACATGTAAATAAAGTTCGTAATTTAGGTTAATTTTAATTAAAGACATAATTTTAACTAAATAGTTCTAACTAATTTTATATTTTATGTATTAAATTGTCGTGCGCATATGAACATATACCAAATGGAATATGCGCACTATAAATGTTATTATTATTATTATTATTATTATTATCATTATCATTATCATTATCATTATCATTATCATTATCATTATTATTATTATTATTATTATTATTACAGTGCATTCAAAAACATTTATTTAATTCACCTGAAAGTGCATTCAAAAACATTTATTTAATTCACCTGCTTCAAATTTAACATCGCAAGGCGGCGAAACGCAAAATATTGCAAGGGGCTTTAATCGTGTAATGCTGCAAGGCAAAGTTCGTCAAGCTGTCAATCTAATTTCCAATGCTAATCGTCGAGGCCTCCTAAATATGGACACGTTAATTCCAGCTGGTGAAGACAAAGAGGGCAATATTCAATGTAAAACATCTAGAGAAATTCTTATGGAAAAACATCCACCGGGGAGCATTCCCAGCGATGGCATCCTTTTGCAAGATGCAAATTCTGACGAGAGTTACTACGATCCAATTGTATTCGAAAGAATAACTGGTGATTTGATGCCCTGCGATATCGACCGTCTTGAATAACACTTATAAGGCTCCTGTGAGGATGTTCGTTGCAGGAGGGGGAGAAATAGCGTCAATGGAAGGCACCACACAAGGCGACCTGTTAGCTATGGCTATGTACGCATTAGCTATAACTCCACTAATCAAAAGATTAAAGGAACAAGCTCCCAATGCAAGTCAGGTATGGTTCGCAGACGATTCCAGTGCAGCAGGAAGATTAAGAGCCCTCAAGGTTTGGTGGCAGCACTTAACAATACTTGGCCCCGAATTTGGCTATTTTCCAAGCGCAAGCAAGACAACAATGGTAGTCAAAGAGGAGTTCTTTGATCAAGCGAAGGATTTATTTGAGGAAACTGGCGTCAAGATTACCACTGATGGTCATAAAATACTTGGTGCTGCCTGCGGCAAACGTTCTTTTGTGGACGAATATGTAGCTGATAAGATAGACGAGTGGAAAGATGAAATTGAGATGTTATCTAAAATAGCTGAAACGTATCCACATGCTGCATATACCGCATTTACTCGTGCTATTGTGTGTAAATGGCAATATCTTATGCGAACGATTGATGGTATCGGTAGCATGTTTCAACCGTTGGAGAACGCTATCACGGCCAAACTCATTCCGGCTTTGACGGGCAGAGGACCTTGTTCCAGCGTAGAAAGAACAATACTCTCTTTGCCAACGCGTCATGGTGGGCTCAACGTTGTTAATCCTGTTGAAGTCGCGAATAGTCATTATAACGCATCATTAAAGATTATTGAACCTCTGAAGAAAATGATCATTAGCCAAACGACAACTTATAAGAAAATTTATCTACACGACATAAAAGATCTGCGAAGGCAAAAGAACCAGTACCACCAGCAACTAGCCACGGAGGTCAGAGAAAGCTTGCCCACAATAAAGCAACGGACTTTGGATTTGTTGGAGCTGAAAGGCTCATCATCATGGTTATCTGCCCTACCACTGAAAGACCAAGGCTTCAGTCTAAACAAGGGCGAGTTTCGTGATGCTTTGAGCCTCAGGTACGGATGGCAACTGAAAAATCTTCCCCAATATTGCATATGTGGTACTAGTTTTTCGACCGATCATGCCATGATGTGCCCACACGGAGGAATGACTATATCTCGTCATAACGAAATCCGTGATCTTACCGCTGATTGGATGAGTGAAGTATGCAGAGAGACGGAAACCGAACCACCATTGCAGCCCTTATCTGGAGAGATTATCCTTCCCCGTTTCGCGAATAAACGAGAAGATGCCCGGGTCGATATCAAGACTATCGGACTTTGGGGACGGCAGCAAAGCGCATTTTTTGATGTTAGGGTTTTTCACCCCAACGCGCCAAGCTACCGTGACAAAAGTGTTGCAGCTTTATTCCGGAAATATGAACTAGATAAGAAGAGAGAATATGGCGATCGAATAAGGGAGGTTGAAAATGGTTCCTTTACACCACTAGTCTTTTCAACAACAGGAGGTGCCAGCGGAGAAACAACAGTGGTTTATAAACAATTAGCGGAACTTTTGGCCAATAAACGGAAATCTCCCTACAATACCACATTAGCCTGCATATCATTTGCTCTAATGAAATCAACTATATCCTGTATAAGAGTGCGTCGTGCGTCAACTATATCCTGTATAAGAGGGCATCAAGAGTGCGTCGGCGTCGTTGTACGGACATGGGAATAGCAACGGAGGTTGCTGAAAGTAATTTAATTATTAACCCTTGAACTTGGAATTTCATAACTAGATTAAATCATATACTACAATTAGGGTAATGGTTCACGGAACATGTTTTGTTCTTTCTTAAAATTAAGTTTTTAACATTCTTAGCTAGTTTTTTTCCCATTTTAACTGTATTTCGTATTTTATCATTCTTTTCTTTGTTAATACATATAATAGTTTATAATAATTGTATATATATCTAGTTAGTCTTTATATATTATGAAATAGCTCCGTACTATATTTTTTCATGGATATTAAATAAATTATTAAAAAAAATATAATTCGCCTTGAAGTAAGAAGGGCACCGGCCAATGTTACAATATGCTTTTAGAATTTTATTACGGTTTTATGAATTGTGTAACTTAGTGGAGGCATCATTGTATTGTTGGTTAATTCTAAAAATAATAATAATAAAAATAATAATAGAAATAATAAAAATAATAATAATAATAATAATAATAATAATAATAATAATAGTAATAATAATAATAATAATAATAATAATAATAATTTTTTAAACCTTTATGAATCACTTACATAGCCGGGCCCATATGTTCATACATTTATGAGTCCAGACCAATTTTTTTTTACCTATCTACACTTAATAAATAAGACAACAGTTCTCTGAATAAAACAGGTCCGTTATCTACACTGTTCACACATTAGCAGCTAAGGGAAATTGAGTTTTTCGGGGCAAGACCAGTTCTTATTCCTTCTGCAAAATATGTAGAAGGTTGCACGAAGTGCAACCTCCATACATTTTAATATGATACGATCGTCTTGCAAATTTAACAATTTACATAGTTTACGAAATTTGCCTATGCTTTTCGTGACGAAGCCTAAAGTGGTGACTTCCAGAGTTATAACTTTAAATTTATCGCACGGTACAAGTAACTGTGCTCGCAATACTCGATACTTTTCTTGTTTACGTCGTCTTGCAATTACGCAGTTCGTTTCATATGGGACTGTCAGTTCCACCACATACAGGTCTCTTTTGTAGCGTAGTATAATAATGGAAACTTTATTTTGACATTTTATGTATATACAATTATAAATCTCACTAATTAAGGTAATTTATAATTGACTACTTGAACTGTTAATTATTGATAAACTATATTACAGATATAAAACTAAGAGAAAGCTCATTCTTAAATGTTCATTAAGTCCGGATCGGTCCAATCCTTGTTTCTACAACAAAATATATAGTACGTTGTTCTGATGGCGATAGTCATTATTTTCTTTACACAAAAGTTCTGATGTTTTTTATCAAGACCAACTTCGTTCAACATTTTCATGAACGTGCTACATTCTTTTGAGAAAACACCTAAGGCACTAATAGACAAATTAATAAATTTGACTGTTTCGAAATGGTTTTTCTGCTCCGTAATTAGATCCTTGTATCTTTCCCTTTTGCGAGCAACGTTATTTTGGAGATTGGATTCATAT